TTATATATATATAGATGATGTCCTTTTGAACACATAAGGTTTTTTTTTTCAAAGAAAATTAAACGAAAAGCAGATGTACAGGGCAAAATAGCGGAAACAACATTGTTTCAGCAACTGAAGGAACAATGGTGAATTCTTTTTAAAGTAATAAATGGAGAAACAACATTATTACAGAAGTAATTTTCTTTCAAATGAAACAATGAAAGTGAATGCTGAATCTTTAGAAATTGAAGAGAAAAATACTTTATGAAATTATCAATGGTATTTGATGAATTTCATGGATCAGCTCTCTGTTTCCCCGCAGTCAATTGGTAATTAGCACTGTGGCAGATCCACCGGCGGTGGAGGCAAGGTTGTCGACGGCGTCGGCCCGTTCTCCACCACAAAGGCTGTCGCCAGTCCCCATGGCAAGTGAACGTCCAGGTGGCAATGTGTGAACCATACACCTGTGTACAAAATTACGTCCATATTCAGATTTCGGCAGAATTTTTTTTTCTTAAATATTCACCGAACACCCAACAACTGCATTATAGAACTCGCGGAACTTATCCAGGTGTCTAATTGTGATTCGCTTAATTCCCACCACCATTAGTCAAAGTTTGACCGTTTTAAGACAAATTAGTAATTAACTTACCTGGATTATTAGCTCTGAATCTGATGACAGCCCAACCTCCGACTGGCACGGCGACGGTGTTCCTCATATGTGGGTTGACGAGGTTGAACATTTTCCGGTGTTCAGACTGGTGATATTTTCCGAACCCTTGCGCCAGCACGTGGAAGTTGAAGCCGTGGATGTGCATGGGATGGTTCTCGACGGCGATGAAGGCGGTGTCCTGGAAGACCACCTCCACCGCGGTATTGTACTTGAGCTTAATGACCTTGGTTGATTTTGGCGCGAACAGCGAGGCGTTGTCGTTGTTGATGTTGGAGTTTGTGTAGTCAAGCTTGATCGGCGGTCGGCGGGGGAAATCGGTGGTGTAAATGCCGCCGACGTTGGAGAAGAACGCCTGAAGCATGGACAGACGGGTGGGGCGGACGAAGGAGGCGTTGTTCATGCTGGCAGAGAGTTTTGTTCCGTTCGGGCCCTGACACTTGGTGTTTTTAGGACAGGCTTGCAGGCCCAATCCGACGGTTAGGAACATGTGCTTGTCCACCTTGGTTGGGACTGGGACCCAATGAGGCCCACCTACCAATCCTGTTAAATTAGTGTAGAATTTGTTGGCCGTGGGGGTGTCATTGAAAGCTGGGAGGGCGGGCATTTTGGGAGTTGTGGTGGAAGCGGCGCCGTCATACACGACTATGCCTCTCGTCGTGGTGTTATCGAACGAAACCCCGGGTGCACTAGCGTATGGTCTGGCGGCCATGTAGTAAGATCCCACCGGCTGGTTGGCTACTAAAAGAACATCGACAGTCTGGCCGGGGGCGATCACGACGACGTCGGTGACGTATGGATTGGTGTAGCCAGCGTCGACAGCGATAACCGTCATCTTGTGATTGGCTATCTTGAAGAAAAGCTGATTATCGAGTGCAGCGTTGATTATACGTAGGAGATAGGTCCTTCCTTTCTTCACATTAAACACGTATGTCTCTGTTAAAAGGTAAAAACCCATTTTATACTTAATAAAGATAATTAATTAATTATCAAAGCCCAAGAGTTAAGTTCATTAATCACTTACGATTTTTAGAGCATTTATATAAATCTCCGGGCAACCCATTGATAGTGTAAGCGTCGGAACTGTTCGGAGCAGCTCCGGTCGCAAGAGCTTGGCGCTCGACGTCAATGGGGTTGGCGTCCCACCACTCGCCTGCAATAAATATCAATTTGTTCATTCAATAGTGTTATTGAGATTATTAATAAAGTGGTTAATTAATTATTAATTAATTACCTAATACAATGGGTATTTCCTTGTGAGGTTTAGGGAAGGGGAAAGCGTAGGATTGACCGAGTTTGGGGCGGATGATGAGTGCACCATAGACAGTGGCACGTAGCCATGAGGCGTGAGCATGCCACCAGAGGGTGCCTTCCTGATCGATGATTCTGAATTTGTATGTATACTGATGTCCCGGTTGTATGGGACATTGAGTTACCATGCTCGGTCCATCTGCCCATCCACTAAGTTTCTGAAATATACCATGCCTGCATAGACAACATTATTCCTATTAACATAGGCACAAGAAATTAAACATATTTAGAAAAAAATGAAAAACGTTAGATAACTGTGTCTATCATATCTTAAACTTCTAAGCACTAGTTGAAATTAATTACCAACTTTGATAGTTGACAAATAAAGTCGAATAAATTCGGGGTTAGGTCTTATAAGAAAACGAGATAGATTATAAAAAGAAAAAAGCTTTTTTATTTATTAAAATAGCTAGGTGGAAAATTTATCGTTAAAGAAAGTTCTTACTTCATAGGTGTCAAAGTCAATTTTAAGCTTATCCATTAAAAAAGGGGGAAAAGAAAAGAAAATAAAAGTTGAGGTATGTATGTGATCATAATCAGGAGTTTACCAGTGCAGGGTGATGTTGTAAGGTGACTTATTAAAGACATGAATGATAACAGTGTCACCCTCATGAACATGAAGGGTTGGGCCAGGTAGCTTCCCATTTACAGCAGTTATCACTCGCTGGTTGCACAGCCGTGTTACGGCTAAATTTTGCACCTACGCCAAATATTCATAAACTTCAGAAATTAACATGATAATCAAAATTATATATATTAAATCATTGAGAAAATTTAAAATAGAATGAAAACTGGGAGAGTAGATTACAGTGAACGTGTGTTCGACGACTGCAGCTGAAGCAAATGATGAAGCTAGAAAAAGTAAAGCACAAGCTAGCAACGAAGAGCGTGCCATGTTAATTTGGAGAGTTTGATTTGGGAGAGGAGAGCAGAAGAAATGGTTTCTGCTCTGTTTGAGGAATGTGGGGTGCATGAGAGAACAGAATGGGACCCTATTTATACTACAAAGGGTCTACTATTTTTCTGGAGACGTGGGTTTTTTTTTTTTTTTTTGAAAAAAGGGTTATGTTTCTTCTATAACATTTCAACTGCCAGCTTTATATTATTAAATACTAACTAATTGAATGGAAAAAGGGGTCCTGCATTTGGCATACGATTGCGTAACAAACTCGTTTGAAAGCTCTGATGAGGAACTTTTTTGAAATTTTGGAAATCAATGAGGCAGTAGAATTATCTTAACAGTTTAAGTTTATGTTAGATTTTCATAGGTGAGTGTAATAAGTCATCCATAAAAATATACAAAGAATGTTAATTAGATAAATAATAATTTATTAGTTCAAGTAAAAAAAGAATAATATTTTAAGTTTGAAAAGAAGAAGTGAATACTAAAAGAGTATTTTTTTTTAGTGAGTTTAATGTTACTTAATTTTGAATTAATTGATATATATTGTACATAAAAACAAATGATGAATTTGATAAACAAGTGTTTAAGTTTAAGATAATGTTAAAAACATATATAGATTGGATCTAATTTACTAGTTTCAACTATATATCCCTATCCCTAAGTTTGGCCATAGCGATTTCGCATAAAGAGAAAAACCATAAAAAAAGGTCACACAATCTTGGTAGTTGAAGCAAACAAAACCCTTTTGAAAATCCTCAAATTCTATGACCCTAATTCCCTTTTACATACGGTCCTAATTTTGTATTATCCTCCTTTTTCAACCAAATGTGTTATACTTTTCAGTTGTAGCTAGCTTGGATAATTAATACTGTGGGTGCATGGAAAATTACTTGCTGTTCTCTGTAGAAACCGTAATAATACTCGACTTTTTGTTGTTTCAAAATAAGAAAAAACCTGTGCTTGGGGCATTTGTCAAAAGCTAGCTTTAATTGATCTGGTCCAAAAGTCGATTGGGACCAGAGACTGTGGTAATGGGACAAATTACAAGTGGTTTACCTCTCCAATGGGAAAGAGATGTGTGAGGAACGTAGAAGTAATTAATTACTACTAATTATTTGCACATACTAATTAATTTATAATAATTT